TTTGTTGGTAACCTTCCATTCGATGTAAAGGTATGTATGATGTGTCCATTCTTGTATGGCTCTTTGTTGTTCTTTTTAAAGAAATGATAGCAGTAGCACCACAATGTCCATATAAACTAAGTAACCAATGTCAACTTTGCTTCTTGGTGGCACATCAGGATGAGGAGCTCTACCAGCTGTTCTGCGGTCCCAGTGGGCCACAAGGTGATGTTGAAGCTATACGTGTTGTCAGAGATCCAGATTCAAGCCTAGGAAAGGGTATCGCTTATGTTCTATTCAAAACAAGGGTATAATTTTCTTATCCTTCATCTTCCCGCTTGAGTTATTCTGAGTTCTGACTCTTTGCAACAGTCAAAATTTGTCGGGTGCATAAGTAGTTTATTAACAGTAGAATTTGTTAATTCTTGTGTGATTGTGCAAAACATTCCTTGAAGATAGTATCGTTAATCATGTCATATGGTTAAATGCTAGTATTACATGTGAAAAGAATGAGTTCAAGACTTCCTTGCTAACTACTCCATTTCTATCCATTTCTGCGACAAGTAATTATGGATGGAGTACATATTTACAACGGAAACATCAGTTTATAAGCAGGCTGTAAATATTTAAGCCATTTGTAGACTCACAACCCAATACTTGCTGAACTGCATCTCTACCAACAGAGTTCATTTATGGTGTCTTACATTGTCGAGTGTTGATTATCTTTAACCTACTGAGCAGAATGGAAAAACGATAGCATCTTGTAAGTGTTGTCCAGAAAAGTTTATGTTGAACCAGTTCAGTTATAAAATACTTACAGTACTAAACTCCATGCCTTCAGTTATAAACTACTTAAGAGTAGTAAACTCCATGCCGGATAAGTATTTCTACTTTGAAGGCTTATTATGATCCTGGCTTGTCAATTGCATCTGTTTACTAGAATTGTCCAGTCAGTTCATTACTTTATCCACTGATAATATACAATATGCACTTGTGACATTGTGACTTATTATGGTACTCTGTTTTCTGAGGAACATAACATCTTATAATGAATGACCTTTGGCTATCATCTTGTGAAATGCTCTGAACAATTTTCCACATTCTCTGCATACATTGTTATCTCGTCAGGATCTCATAATAATTGTTTTAATGTGTGTTACGCAGGAAGCTGCTAACTCTGTTGTCAAAAAACGTGGCCTTAAGATCAGAGATCGCTTTTTGAGGCTCACCCACGCAAAAGCAACCGATGCGACACCAAAGAAGACAGATTCTGGGAAAAAGCGCGGCACTCCAAAACAGAAGGCACCTTTCACGCCAGGCAGCAAGTCCCGTGAAGGCAGCGACAGCAACAAACGCAAGGCGCCGGCAAGCCTGTCTTACCAAGGCCTGAAGTCGACCAAATCTGGCGTCGTGAAGAAGGTGAAGGTGGCCCGGCGCCCCGTCAACCAAGGGAAGCAGCAAGGCAGGCCTAGCGAGACGGGACAAAGCGACAGTGCCCGCAAGGCCAAGCGGCCCGCCGTGGCAGCCAGGAAGGCGAAGCAACTGAACAAGAAACGCAAGCAGGACGGCTCGACGCCCGAGAACACGCACCGGAGCAAGAAGGCGAGGAAGTAGCTGTCCTGTGATGGATCATTCCCTTCGTTATGTAATAGGAGTGTCAAATTTTGGACAAGATGAGTCCCTGATGGCCTTTGGTTCAGCGAGGGAAGAAAAATACGAGGTTGATGTTGCTGATGTAATGCTCAAAAGAGTCGAGTGTAGTCGTTTGGTACTTGCCTTTGAGGTCTTGGCCCCTGTACTAATGTCAAAATGATGCTTATCTATGTAACATCATGTACTGACACCATTTTTGCCTTGCTTGTTTCTCATGCTGATCCCATGTCATTCAAGTGATGGAACTACAAGTAGCATGTTTGGTCAAAAAGAAAATTCATTGGTCTTGGTAAATACCTTTTGGCATGGTTTTTTTTTTGAAGGCTTTTGGCATGGTTTTAGTTCCAATGGAACAGAGGGATTTTGATTCTCAAGCTCAAACATGGGTTTAGGTTAACGCTGCGTTTGGATGTCCATATTGAAAGGCTCTGTAATGAATTGGTTGGAATACCATTTCAGCAAGGAAACTGAAATGGACATGAATACGAATTCACTTGTTTGGTTGTTCACTGAATTGCCTCATGAAATCTGTGAGGTTTCAATACTAAATCCTGCTTGGATGACAAACATTGAAATTGCATATTCACATTGATTGTGAAGCTTTTATCCTTCTATCTACAGGAAACATCAAATTTGTCCATACACATACGCACAAGAATCATTAAATTTGCCCACATCCACACACATAGAAACCGAAGAGTAGGCAGGCACGGTCAGGAAGCTTCAGCAGCGACAGTCCTTCGTCGTCTACTCCAGCCCCCTAGTAGCCGCAGCTGCAGCAACTAAATGCAGCGGCGGACACCCATAGTCGCCGCGCCGGAGGCGGTCGAGCGGACGGGCCTGTGGCGGACGCCCATGGCCGCCGAGCTGGAGGCAGTGCACGACGCGTCAGTGGAGGGGACGGGTGAGATGCGGCGGTGCCGGAAGATGTTGCAGGAGGAGGGGGCCGAGGAGGGAACGCACCTGGACGCCGCCGAGCTTCGCAGCCGCCGCCCACCTCGGAGCTCGCTATCTCCCTTCCTGCCTTTTCTCCTTATCTGTTCGCGAGGGGGGAAAAGGGAAGTGAACCGGTACATTTTGCGGGATGGGCGATTTCAGCACAATTCAGAGCCGGAGGCCTCCGTATTGTGGGCAGACTGTTTGCGTGGGAGTGATTTCAGCCTGAATTTAGTTTCATTACCGGCCACCAATTTAGTGTCCAGCCAAACAGGTGAAATGAAACTTACCAATACCAAATCCAATACAAGCCCCCCAATGAAGACATCCAAACGCAGTGTAACTGAATTCGACAAGGAACTCTTGTTCCATGATCCATCTCAAATCAGACATAGCACAACTCGAAGCGGCAGTTCATAATTTGCATACAAGATCAAAGTGGAGGTTCATGATTTTCATCAGAGCTCTGAGTGACTGTTCATAATTTGCATACGAAATCAAAGTGGAAGTTGATGATTTTCATCCAGGCTCTAGGTGGCAGTTCATAATTTACATAGAGGTAGATTGCAGCAGCAGCTTCACTTATCCTACTAGTAAATATACTTGTGAACACTGATGTGCAAGTGCAAACCATCTTGGATGATTTATTACTCGTGCACGCGTCACATGGCGGCGGCGGTGATGACGTGGAGGCGCCAGAAGACCTCGGCGGCGGCGGCGGCGGTGCCGTTGTCGACGGCGACGGCGCCGAGGAGCGCGCGGAGGGCGCCGCAGACCACGGGCGGGGCCGAGGCCTTGGTGGACCCGGCGACGCGCACGACGCCCGGGATGCCCGCGCGGGCGCCCGCCGCGGCGCAGGCGGGCTCCCCCGCGGCGTCGCGCGCGGCGCGGGAGACG